GAGAGCCATGAGCAGCATCATCTACAACCCAGATGAGGCAGGTGATGATCTGCAGAAAAGCGCAGACTACAGGTCAGTGGTGGAGCAGGTCACTAAAACACCAAAAGAGTGGCCAGCAAACTTGGAGTATCAGGTGCAGCCCAGCACTTTAGGTCACATCCCAAAGGTGTCAACAGTCAGAACTCTTGCCCAGCAGTTTCAAACAGGCACTGCACCCGCAGAGCTTAAAAAGGAAGAGAATCAGGCTGATCACGTTCCTTTAGAAAGGGAGGGCACTGTTCCAGCAGCACAACCTGCGGAAGACCAAACAAAGATGAAGGCCAAGAGAAACCTCTCGGACACGACTGAGTATCTAACCGTAGCTGATGCAAAGTATATGCCGTCTCACAGGTCACACAGCTGGAATGAAACCGAGAGGAAAGCAAAGTACACGATGGTTAGCAAGGAGCCGAAAGCCTCCAGCAGTGAGAGAGACCTCGTTGAAGCCTGCAGGGTGGCGGGAGAGGATGTGGGAAAGAAGGTGGAAGTGGAGAAGAGAGAAGACGACGCACAGGAAACAAAATAACAGCCACAAAGCGAGGGGATCGATGAAAGCAGCAACAGAAGACATTAAAGCAGAATGAGAAAAAAAGGAAGAAGAGGAACTGAACGCTATCAGCGAATCAGAGAACTGTGGAAATGTATGGTAGCCTGCCATCGACTGGAGATCATTACTGACTGATTACTGAGGTTATGAAAGAGTTGTCACAATAATGATAGAAATAGAATAACAAAATGAAAAAAAACATTAACTAACCCCTTTAAGATTTCCAACCATGCAGTAAATGTTAGTTGTCAGTGCAGAGTAGTAAAACTCAACAAAGCTCTCTCTTTTAAAGATCCACTTTCTTCTTTACTTTTCATTGGTGTAACATACAGTAGGTTACAATCATTCACATTACAGCTTTCCCCAGTCGTCGTGTTTTAATGTTGGATATGTAAAAGGGAACCTGTTGGATGTCTACACATAAAGCATACACACAACAGTTAGTTGTGCTAACATATACACAGTGTGATCAGCAAAAACATGAACTTCCTATATACCACTGACACTTTCAAATACTGCCTGTAAACATTTTCTTTTCAAATACTGTAAAATGTGCTTAATAATGATCCACTTAGAGGTATCCCTACATCTTTCATGCACATACTGACAATCGCATAATAATATGTGGTAAGTACAGCTCCCAGGAAACATACAACCTTTTTCATTTTGACACAGAAACCTGTATAAGTAAAGGTTTCATTAAAGAGAATAAAAATTGATTATTTATAAATTTTTTTGTCTTTTCTATGACAATCCTGTGACTCCTGCTAGGCACACATGAACAACTAGAAATGATGCCAGCGCAACAGGAGACTACAGGCATATATTAACAAACATGAATTTACACAGACAAAAACAATCAATGCTGAGATCTGATATGTCTGACAGCATCATAGTAGTAAATATTACAGTAGGTAGTGTGTATAAAACAATGCTACAACTTCTGAAATTCTTTTTTTTTTTTCATTTATAAGACAACTATGTGTAAATAAGTTATATTCTCATGAGATCCAACAGAGGTATTATAAATGCCAACAGGATCACAGCCTTGTGTGAGCAGACACTGCAGGGCCAGCTAAAAAAAAAAAGAAAAAAGAAAAAGAATGCTGGCAATCACTCCAAGTCTTTTGCATGAGCGGATATACAGTATCAGGCCTCATTCCTCGCTGATCCTCTTCTAGTCAGCAGATCAGGATGGCATCTCAAACACTCATGAACCTGTGAGCTTCAGCTGGCACTAAGGTCCTCTGAATATGACCACTGCTGCTGCTGCTGCAGGGACATCCTGGATGCAGGAACCATCCGCCAAAACAGCAAAGTCCCACAGAGCCGTGAACACTACAGAGGAGCAGCCTAGAGGAGTGAACACTTGAAGAATTTTATTCTTTTTGACTTTTTCTCTGTGATCTTGACTGGTTTGCCCGATCCTCCGGCATTGCTGTCAGTCTGGTGAGGAAAGATGTGAAAGTGGAGAAGTGTAATAAATACAGTATTAAACAAGTAGGGCTTTAAATTAAGTGCAGCAACTGTTGAGGGAGTAGTTTTAGTTTCACAAGTGGGATGGGGGGGGGGGCACATTAAGTCAGAGGTTTGTCCAAAAAACAAACAAACAAAAACATATCTTAATGCAACTTCCTAATGCAATTTATATTCAGATCACCAATAATTTGAAGTCATTCCCCCTGTCCCCAGTGGAAATTAAGCACTTGGCATCTATTATAGGAATCTCTTAACCACTTACTGTCTTTGAGCTCAGATTGTGTAATATGTCTCTTCCCATAGCATAAAAAGCCTAGTGTGACAGAAAGAAAAAAGTTAAATGTGCATATTCATCATGTTACATGGTACTTACAGGGTTTTCAAAAAAAAAAAAAAAAGGTGCATACCTCTTCCACATTTAAGCTAGACTTTGCACTGGTTTCCAAGAACTTCACTCCATAATCAATAGCCAGCTATGGGAGATAAAAAAAAAAACTATGTTAGTGTCACTCAAAACAAGTTGTTAGAGTGCATTTGAGCTGGTTTGAGACTGTTTTTTTTAGTAAAGAGTGGCTGCAGAGACTCACTTTTTCACCTCTGTCTTTGGACACCTGCCTCCTGTCAGTCATGTCACATTTGTTACCCAGGATCATCTTCTCCACATCAGACGAGGCATGCTGGGAGAAGTGAAAAGACTCATTATGCAAAGCTGTAGGCGTGTTACTCTCCGTACACAGTGACAGTATCAAGCAGCAACAAGCTCACCTCTTCAATATTTCTAATCCAGTTTTTTATGTTTTCAAAGGACTTCTCATTGCAGATGTCATACACCAACATGATGCCCTGTGAAGACACACACACACAAAAAGTCATCCTCACAAACAATATCTCAGACCCGATGATATATAAAGCCATAAGGAGGAATTGTAAGATGAAGCGCAGACTCACCATAGCTCCTCTGTAGTAAGCTGTGGTGATGGTGCGAAACCTCTCCTGCCCTGCAGTGTCCCTGAAAACAGCAAATCAACTTCAGTGGTAAGCAGGCAGATGTGTGTCAGATTTTAATTTAAAAAAATATAGAAAAAAAGCCTACCAAATCTGAAGTTTGACCCTCTTTCCGTCCAGCGATATTGTTCTGATTTTGAAATCTATTCCTGCATTTGAACAAGCAGACACAGACAGAGTGGTATGAGCTGATACTCACTACATTGATTAGTTACTTGATATTATAAAACATTAGGTGCACCGGAAACCAGGCACTTCGCGGGCTGTTAATCCACTGTCAAGTTGTAGCAGGACATAATTCAATGTCACCGCAAAACTAGCAGCTGTAGTACACTGTAGAGCTTTGTGGAGGATATGTTGTGGAGGATGGAACAAAGAAGGCTTCACATTTCAATCAGGTTTCCAAAGGTCGACTACCATGATTACATTTCTCATTCTCATCTCGTTCTATATTTAACCTTACTGGTGTGTCGATGAGCCATCAAGGGCAGGAGATGATTATAATTTGTTTCTCAGTCCCATTGTCTTGCTCCTATGCAGTAACTGCCCCTTTAAACACCATGGGTCTGCATAATATAGAGCATAATAATACAAAAAATATATCCCCCTATAGGTATTACAACGACCATACATTGACCACCAGTTAGTGCAATGCAGTGAAGCTCTGTGTCCTGTTCATATGTGCATGCATTACAGTCATATGTATCCTCAGGGGCGGCTGCAGGGGTACTCACCTATTGTGGATATGAAGGTGGTATTGAAGGAGTCCTCGCTGAATCTGAACAGCAGACATGTCTTGCCGACTCCGCTGTCTCCGATGAGCAACAGCTTGAAGAGGTAATCGTACGTTTTCGCCATTTAGACACACTGTACGGACTCCAACGTTTCGACAATATAAGGCCGTATCGAGCCGGGATCCCCCGTCTGGAAATCCTCAGCTGTCTGTTGCAGACTGGCAGCAGACCGGTGCCGAGATGAGTGACGTCACGTTTTGCGTTGCATTCTGGTCTATGTAGTTTAATGTGGGTAAAGGGGGGCCTCAGGTTTTGCTTTCTTTTCTTGTTCTTGTAAAGATTTGTTTTAGTGACAGATGCTCATTTTACAAAGCAGTTTCAACATACAGAACTTAATAATAATAATAATAATAATAATAATAATAATAATAATAATACACTAACTTAAATATCACTAATAAACAAAAAAAGAAACAAACACAAACCCAGAAACTATGATAATAATAACAATTATTGTTATTAACAATATCAATTACAATAATAATAATAAGAAGAAATACAATAAAATGAAATGAAAGTAATAATAAATAAGGGCAGCATCATCTAAGGTTTTGCTTTCTGATTCAATTTAATTATGAAGTGACAGCAACTTAAAATATAATGATGGGTTTTTTAAGTCTACACCTCCTGTAATGACCATTTCAAAACACAAAGGTCTACATGAACAATCATTTGGACTTATCTATATAAATTTATATACTTTTTTATTAAAACGACCTCACATAAACCCATTTCATGCTCTTACGTGTCCAACTTTGTTTGCCCAAACCTTGATGCTCATAATCCATAAAACAGAGCTCAGGGGCAGGTTGCACAATTGTTTTTTTTTTTTTTAAATATTATAAAATATTGAAAAATATCATGACAATAATGATCCCAGTATCTGCAACAAACACCGCGATAAACACTGGATGCAGGTGCCAGATCTTTTTTTAACATAAGTAGTTCAGGAGAAAAGGGGCAAAACATGGTAACAATTGCTCCTCTACAATAGGAAATCCTTTAAAAATATACTGCAATTACATCCCCCAAAAGACAATCTCTATTCCCTTACCCCAAGACCTTACTGTTTTTTTTCTTTATTAAAAAAAACAAACAAAGTTTCAATGAATTGATTACGCTACCACGTTTTAAAAATATCTTGTTGACAGTATAGAGTGATATCTCAGCCCCTCACAGGTCTGACAGTTCCTGCTGCTGCACAGATCTGTTTCAGTCCCAGTATCTGCGCAGGAAGGCGAGCCTAGCACGGAGAAAATGCCTGTGAGTCCCAATGTGTTTTTTGATGTGGTAATCTCTTTAGTTTAAGTTCATATCTACACAGCTGTCGGTGCTTGTTTATTGTCGAGTCTTCGCCGTCAAACGCAGTGTGTTTGCGGTCTGAAACCTTGCTGATATGTAGCAGCAGCAGCAGCACATGGACTGAAAGTTAGCTAACGTAGCTCTATGTCACGGCAGTAGTGGGGGTTGGGGGACGACTACTTGCTGGAACGCAACTGTTTCAAGTGCGTATGCGATATAACCCGTGGCGGAGACATGTCGACCCAAGAAACAGTCGGTACCTGTTTTTTTTTTTTAAGGCTCTTATTATGGTTTCTTTCAGCTGATGGGAGTTTACAAACACAAAGCCAGTGTAACTGACAGTACTCAGTCTGTGTGCTGAAGTGTTTTATATTGTTCATTGTTTGCTAAAACGTTAACTAGCTAATATCTGGACTTACTTACCGTCCTGTCTGTAGATCCAAAAACAAACTTCTTGCCTTGTATATCACAGGACTGACATTGTAATGAATAGATTCATTATTAAAGTGTTTCTAAGTAAAGCTGAGATCAGAGTAATGCTTGATACGCTACAAATCCTTTTAAAACCACAGTAGCATTAACTTAAAACTGATTACATGTTTTTTCTCCCCCCCGTTTCTTTTAGCTGGCTAAGGACCTCCTCCACCCAACGATTGAGCATGAAAGAAGGCAACATAAGAAGAAAAGACTTGTTCAGAGTCCAAACTCTTACTTTATGGATGTGAAGTGCCCAGGTAACGTTATATTAATAATATATAACCAGTAGAAGCAGACTGGGCTTTTGGTGCAGTGATTTCAGGTCATTTGTTTTGTTGTGGCATCCATAAAAACATTTATAACAATACATGTTGGGTCTGTTGTTTGTTTACAGTTTTAATACTTTATTGTCTTTGCAGGCTGCTACAAGATCACCACCATGTTTAGCCATGCGCAGACAGTGGTGCTCTGTGTGGGATGCTCCACTGTGTTGTGCCAGCCTAAAGGAGGAAAGGCCAGACTGACAGAGGGTAAAACATTAACATAAATACACCATATAAATCAAAAAACAATACATATACCATATAATACCACTACCTTCAGCAGTAATAAGTAGAAGGCTGTCTTAACTTGTTTTCGTTTTTGCTTTACAGGTTGCTCTTTCAGGAGGAAGCAACACTAAAACGGATTACACACTAAAAATTGTCTGTAATTAAGCCGTGCTGTCGATAAATCCCATATTTTTCCCCCCATTGATTACAATGTAGTTGTGCATTCACTAATGACAAATCTTGTCACTGTACAGATGTTCAACTTTTATAAATTTATAAATTAACTAAATTTGTAATATTCAAGATGATAAGGTAAAATCTCATTAAGTCAATAAAGAAAGCTGTTATTAAAAAGCTGATGCATTCTGGGACTTTTATTGACAAATAAACAACAAAAGAAAATGTCATGACTGAAATTACATTCACAGAAAGCATACAGGTGGTCTGAATGAAAAGAAAACATTTGTGCCACTGATTCTGAAGAAACAATATATATATAAAAAGACATGGATTTTAAATAAATATAAGAAACCAAAATACAGTCTTGATAAATTAGGGTGTGAAACGAGTACTCTGCTTGCATATTTGTGTCCCAGGAGAGGTCCATCAATAGCGACAACAACAACAACAACAACAAAAAAAACCCCACCTGCTCTACAACACTTTCTTTTTAAATCACAGACTTTGATCACTGGGTCTGACATTGCACTTCGCCTCTGGGTCCCTGCTCGTCTTCCTCGTAAGCTTCCCTACTTTGGTTTTTCTCTTTCGTCCGCACATCCACCTCACAGAGATCCACCTCCTCCATGTCATCCGTCATCATCACGTCGTCCCTGGGAGGAAGCAGTCTTTCTAGCTGGAACATGAGATGCTCCGGTAGCCAGTGTTTCTCTGGGAATTCCACCTGCAGGATAAATTACAATTAGCAGAAATTCTCTACAACGAAGAATCTGATGATGAGATTTAAATCCAGAGTTGTATCACACAGGGGCGAGACGTTCGGAGTCTCACCTGGAACTGAATGATAAGCTGTCCTCTTTCAAAAGGATCCTTGTAAATTGGCATGCCTTCATTCTGAACACACCTAATGTCGCCGTGCTTTATCACTTCACCTGTTGACAAAAAGATACATGTTCATGAAAACGTGAATTACAAATAGTGTCAAACAAACAAAACATGGAGGCCGACACTAGAGACAAGCTGCTTCCAGTCAATTACCTGGCTGTGTGCTGATGATGAGCGGTCTGTTGTCTAATGTCCGAATGATCTTCCTGAAACCGCACAAGGCCTCAGCAAGTTTGATGTCCAACCTCATGACCAAGTTTTCGCCTTGTCTCTGGAAAACAGGATGATCCTTCTGATCCAGCACAATGATTACATCCCCGGGCTCGAGTCCAGGTTCCTGGTCGCCTTCTCCATTGAATGTAATTCTCTGACCATCTTTCATACCTGCACAACACATTTATGTCCAGTTTAGTTTGAGTCGCACAACACATTTAGACTACTAGCTTTTTTTTTTTTTTTTTTTTATATAAGTATCCTCCAGCGTTACCTTTGTCAATGTTAACTTCAAGAATTTTCTTCTTGCGTTCTACTTTGTGTCCATGGCAGATCTTGCAGCGGTCCTTTGAGTTGAATTTCTCGCCCTGTCCCTGGCAGTCTGAACAAATGCTTTGGATCTGCTGAATCATGCCCGGCCCAATCTGTTGCACCTTGATTTGCACTCCTTTACCTTTGCAATTTGAGCACTTCTCCAAGGCACCTTTCTTACCACCATAACCTGTAATAAACAGGACGATGTCATTTACTGAACTACTGAACCATTTTTATTGTATATCGGATTAAAATCCAAACAATACCACGTACCTTCACATTTTTCACAAATGACGTTCTTCTGAAGTCCAAGTTTCCTTGTAGAGCCTTTGTACATCTCCTCCAGTGTAACACCAAGCTGGTGGACAACATTCTTCCCTAAAGGAAAAGCAGGTATATGTAAGTTTAAAATGTATATAATTTTAGCCTACTGCTTAATATTACTTATGCAACTGATAAAAATACATCATACCCTTTCTCTCTCTCTGCATCCTTCCTCCACCTCCAAAGAACATGTTGAAAATGTCCATTGGGGAAGACCCTCCACCCATGCTTCCTTCTTTGATTGCTTGTTCTCCACCTTGGTCATACAAGTCTCTCTTCTGTGGATCTGACAGCACTTCATATGCTTGAGATATGAGCTTGAACTGTGGAAATAGAAAACAAAGTCACATTTGAAACTAAGACTGGATTTTAAGCTTTCATAAATAATGAATCCTTCCACTATTCTCTCTAGGATGCAGTGGGCGAAGCATTCAGATCCTTTACTTAAGTAGCAACACCACACTGTGAAAATACTCCAAAAGTATTATATAAGTAGTATAAGTAGTAAGTATTATAAAAAATATTTACTTAAAGTTTAAAAAATGAAAGTAAAATGGTTCATGTTCATCTGGATTAATATTACTCATGTATCAAAGTTTATTTTGTATTTTACTGCTGTAGATATTTAAGGTAGAGCTAGTTTAAATAGTATATGTATCATAGTAGTAGGAGAGTTTTCTCAGCACACAAAGGACACTTGATCCTTCAGTTTATAAGCAAAATCACCAAATTTGGAGATACATGATTTTCACTGGACAGAAAGGACGTTAACCTTTTTGTAATCTGAAAAGTAACTTAAAGCTGTCATTCAAATATAGTGGAGTAGTAGTGGAGTAAAAAGGCAAATACTGCAGATTTAATGGTGACACTGAATGTGCAGATGCTATTTATAAATACATCTGCCTAACGAGCCCTTCAGGACGGCGAAAGACGAGTTAATTCATTTCATTTTAGACATTCATTTCACAACCTCCGGACATTGTAGCCTGAAACATTTCAACTGTGTCTTGGAGACTAATACTTCTGCACTTCAACAGCAGCGGAGCAGCGACTGGATCTTTCCAGAAAGTTCCCGCTGTCAATTCAACCAGGCGTACAGTTTAAAATTAGAAAGAGCATTTCTAGCAGTCCATAAACGGCTGCAGGGACACCCTAAATGTCTCCAACACTCAATGTGGCTAACTCACCTTCTCTCCTTCATTGGGGTTCTTGTCGGGGTGATATTTCAAAGCGAGTTTTCTGTAGGCTTTTTTGATTTCCTCCACTGAGGCTGTGGGGCTGACACACAACAGATCGTAGTAGCCTGTTTCGCGCACCATGGTGACAACCTAGCTGAAGACATAAACCAGAAACACACAACACATTAATACATAAAGCTGACACTGTATTATTTTGTCCAAGAGGTTAGCGTTGCGACCCAATGCTGCCTTCAGCTTAATAACGTTAGCTTATATTAATATTCCTCAATAAATAAAGTTTACATCAGCCAGAACGTCCGCTAAACTTAAATAAAGTATAAAGACGTTGACATAACGTTAACCAACGGCTAGAACATAACGTTAACCAACGGCTAGAACATAACGTTAACCAACGGCTAGAACACAGCAAGGTAACGTTATGGCAACGCGTGTGGTTAAATGACAGTTACTGTCAACCAAATATTGTTATATTACGTTAAGCTTGAATAAAAGTACTAACATTTATTTGCCGTGTAGCTAAATATCCTTTCAAATTATTGTATGACTTACCACTTGTTATTGCTATCGTGGCTGTCGCTTTCGCTCGGTTTACTCTGAGGCTGGTGGAGGAAGAGGGCTGGCTCTTATAGCCGCTCCACGGTGCAGAACTTTCTGGAGAGCTCTGAGAGCAGGGCGCCGGATGTTTCGTTGGCTGGACCTGAGTCAAAAAAAAAAATGGCAATAGTAATGGAGAGATAGGGAGGGAGGGGTTGTGGAAGTTACCAGATCGGCTTGTCTTGAACGTGTGTAGATAGGTCTGGGTATGCAAGATTAACCTTGACCCAATTTCTTGTCAGCACAAAAAAAGTGTACATACATTGCTTTGGTTTGGTTTAGTTATATAGTTTGGTTAAGCAATGGTGGAAGATATTTTCCTTAAAGTACAAATTCAACAGTGCAGACATATTCCTGCATTCAAAATGTTTACTTGAGTAGACAAAAATACTTGCAGCATAATGTACTTAAAAGTAAATACTACTAGTACCAGTGCTGATTATGTAGAATGACCCTATTCAGAATAATATATAGGCCCATTACATAATTTGTGATCTGTTATTTCAGCAGCTGGCTTGAGCCTTGAGAGTTGGATTTCTGGAAGCAACTGTAGCTGGTTATGTGTGGCATGGAGCAGAGTTCAGTTCAACAACATACTGTAGTAGTAGTAGTAGTAGTAATTTTTAATGAAGCTAACATAAAATATATAGTCAAGATTAAACTGTGCATGAAGCTTGAGATAAGAAATAAATACATGGAAACATTGAGGTATAGTCATAACAAGTTGGTTGGTAACAAGACAGATGCAATGAGAAGGGGGCAGGACAGCGTAAGTCAAGTTCAAATAAAAAGACTATGTTCAGGGTTCAGGGAGTTATAGGAATGTCACAGGGATAGAGAAATATTTCACAACATAATTGGATTATAATTATTGATGCATTCATGTGTAATCACATTAATGTCGTAGCTGGTAAAGACAGGGCTAATTTTAACCACTGTATATACTGCTTGGTAGCCTAATTGAAAATAATAACTATACATCTATCTATCAGAAAGTTTAAAAAAAGGCCTTCTGAGTTTTACATAAAGAGCTACATCTGTTGACATAAAGACCTAATTTATTTTTAAGCTCATTTGGAAGTCCACCTCAGTATGTAGTATATACGACCTGTACATATTGTCTTTGATTGTATACTTTTATTTGATGTTATTTTAAATGTTTCTGATTATGCGTAAATATATTCTCCCTCTGTATTCTTGTATTTTTTGTTATGCCAATATACCAAGGAAAATTCCTTGTATGTAAAAACTATTCAGATTCTGATTTTGATTCTGTAAGATAAAAACAGCAGTAACAACTTAACATATATTAACATATGCTGAAGACTGGCTCTGCTATTTGTTTATTAAAAATATTCTTCTAGGATATATAGGGAGATAACTGCAAATGTATCCAAATAGCCATTTATCCCTGGGCTATTATTCCTTCACACTGCATTGACTAAATGAGTGAAAGTGAAGTATTCTGCGTGAAAAACTAAAGCCAGGGCTTGTCCGTTCTGGGCTTCTGTAGAAACATGGTGGTTCAACATGGGGCCTCCATGGAAGGTGACCTGTGGCATCTGTAGATATAAAAGGCTCATTCGAAGGTAACAAAAACATCATGATTGCGCCTTTCTGGTGATTTTACAGAAAACATAAATG